TCAGTGATTCAGCCAATGTAAGGCCTCGGGTCAAAAACTCTACCCAGTAGAGCTGACCCATCAGCCTTGTTGTGCGGAACCTCAGCCTTTGCATCTTGTGTCCTGTAAAGGGAATGCTCTCTACTAGTTTCTTATAAAAGCAACTAGTACAACAGCTTACATTTATTTCCTATTCCACACTCCTCTTATTTTTTCTTTTTTCTCAAAATCCATTCCTAGGGCTGGGGAGATAGCGCAAATATGAGTACCTGAGTTCAGAGCCTTAGCATGCATAAAGTCAGGCGCTGCAGTACACAGCTGTAAGCCCGATCTCAATGATGAGGCAGAGACAGCAGGGTCCCTGGAGCACACTTGCCTGCCCGTCACACTGAATCAGTAAGCTCCAGGTTTAGCAAGAAATCCTATCTTAAAAAACAAGGACAAAATGGAGAGTAGCTGAGGAAGACAGACAATATCAATCTCTGGCTTCCACAGGTGGACATGTACAAGTGCCCCCACATGTTCATGTGTACCTGCACGCACACACACACATACATGCATGTAAACCACACGTGTGTGCGTGCACACCCCATTCCTTTGAAGGGTAAAGCCTAGGGCTGGAGAGACGGTGCAGTGGCCAGGAGCACGCGCTGCTCTTATAGAGGAATGGTGTTCAACCCCTACTACTCACATGGAGATTCACCACTGTCTTTAACTCCAGTTTCAAGGAATCCAACTATCCCTCTGGCCTCCATGGATCCTGCATACTGTGGTATTCATCATGCATGCATACACACATACAAATCTTCAAAACAATAATAAACCTGTGGGAACTGGGGGAAAGGGAAGACCTAGAAGAGGAACCACTAGAAATTACTGAACAGAAGAGTGAGTACATAGCTAAAGCTCCAAGCGAGCACAAGTACAAGCTTGTACTTGTGGCTAAACGCTATTGTCAGATGCATCTTTCAAGCCCTAACCTTGAGCATCTCAGATAGAAACTTATCTTTGGAGTGAAGGCCTTCAAAAGAAGTAAGGTAAAATGAAGTCATATCAAAGTAGTCTAATCCATATAGTTCTCTTGGAATGATGGATGTCTTTACAAAATAAGATTAGGACACAGCCACACAGAAGGAAACCAATCCAAGGAGCCCTCCAAAAAAACCAACCACACAGGACCCCAGATTTCAACTTCTGACCTAAAGAATCATCATAAAACAAAGTCTTGTTTAAGCCACCCCTGGTGCGATGATGTTAGGGAAGCTGTAAGAGGGAGGCCATGTGCTGGGCGAGCCACAAGTCACAAACAGCTTTAACTGTGACTTAAACACAGCCAAAGCCCACAAAAACAAAGAGAGGGGTTGGTGGGTTTTGTTTGTTTCCAGACAGGGTTTCTCTGTGTAGCCTTGGCTCTCCTGGAACTCACTTTGTAGACTAGAATGCCCTCAAACTCACAGAGATGGGCCTGACTCTGCTTCTGAGTACTGGGATTAAAAGTGTGCGCCATCACTACCCAGTGGAAAAGAGGGGATTTTATTTTATAGGAGATAATTATGCTTTAAATAATGCAACAGTGAAATTGAAAAGCCACAACAATATTTATAAGAAAAACTGAAGGGGCATAGTATGTGCAATTTAAAAAGGAATGAAAGATTCAAGTCAGTCATGTCAACTTTGAGAAAAACCAAGAACAGGAGAACCCAGACAAGACATGTTTTATGCCTGAAGTTAACCAGAAGTTAAGTGAATTATAAAAACAACTTAGTTAGCAAGGAAGAGGGATGGAGGCAACTTTGGATGTTCCCTGGGATTGCAAACAAGTACATTGTTTTTCTTTTAATGTTTAAGCCAACTAAAATCCTCGATGATTCACAAACAAAAACGTATTTTCAAGCATCAAATGGAAAGATGGTTGCATGCTGAGCACAGTACTGCACATCTGTGACCCCGGCATGCAGGGACGCAGAGGCAGGCGGAGCTCTGTGAGTGTGAGGCCAGCCTGGGCTACAGAGCAAGTCCAGGACAGCCAGGCTACCCAGAGCCTCAACACACACACACACACACACAGAAGAAAGGAAAAAAATGGAAAAAAAAGAAAAAAGAAAAGCTATTTGCAGTGGTTTCACTGGAGTTTTGGTACTCTGTAAGTTTCTTCTTGTTCTTCCCTCCCCACCAGCAGCTGCCTTGTGCTTTGCTTTTTCATCCTTTATCTAGAGCCACAGAAGCCACAGAGTAAGAGAGGAAAGCAGGTCTCTCACTTGCAGTTCTGGGGCAAAGTTCAGACAGATCAGAAGGAAAAACAACTAGATAGAAATACATCACTGTATGATAAAATTTTTAATGTATTTTTTAGAAGTCTCTAATACTTTTAGGTTTTTAAAGTTCTATTTCATGTGAAGTTGCATAATTTTCTTCGAAATCTATGTTACTTCCTTCTAGGTATAAAAGTATTTCTGGAGTCCTAACCCCACCCCTTTGCTCTCTACATGATTTGCAAGTATTATAACACAGTTCTGAAATACACCCCTGTTGTCACTTCAGCAACCAGCGTCACCAGTATGCAACACTGAAAGATCTCCCCAGCTGCTTCAAGTGTAAGACTTTGCAAAACAAATGGACACTTCTGGGGAACTCGCTTTGTTCAGAAAAGCCTATTAAAACTTTGTTGGCATTGGATACAAAATAAAATCCCCAAATTTGCATTTTCAGCGCTTTTGCTTTCTTGACCTTTATTTGAATTTGAGACTAAGCTTTACCAAACAACAGAATTTACACAGTCACTAGCCAACCACAGTCCTCATTATGGAATCTATGCAGTGCATTTGTTTCCTAGGAAACCGACCAGAGCACAGACAGAGTGCAATTTCAGACTAGCGAAAGAATTCTCCAATCACGCTGGTAAATAAAGTCCATAAATCAACTAATCAGAAGCAAACTCAAGAAGCATCATGGAACCTGAGCTCTATGGAAACTTTTTTACAGGAGGAAAAAAAAAAGAAAAAGCTGTGGGGTTTCTTTGGGTACTATGTACAACCCTTAAGTAAATATTATGAGCAGGTTTCTTATAAACACAAACTGTCATAAAATAAACTGTTCAAAACAAATGGCTTCTCTCCAATCCTCAGCTTCTCTATTTTTGACAGGATTTAGGAGGGAATGCTTCTCCAGAGCCAGCCTCATACATCTGGTACCAAGATATTAATCCAAGAATGAATTATGTGTTTCAGCAAGCAACATGGACTTGTGTTCTTCTTAGTACAAAACAGCAAAACCTGCAATGAACAGTTTCCGTCACGCCTCTCATTCTTGCTTGCTCCCCACCAGGCCAGAGAGCTGGCAGGGGCCGCCACACAGGGTGGGGTGAGGACAAGACCAACAGTCACAGATCAATAAAGAGCAAATCTGTTGCCTCCCAGTCTTCTATTATGTTAGTACCAAACACAGGAAGGTACTGGAAAGCCTGCAGAGGCTTAGGTCTCCTAGATTTAACTGAGGACAGTTTAGTGTTGCTTAGGAAAACAACAACAACAACAAAACAGCTAAATGGCAACTTCTTTTTAAGGGCAATTTACACAAATCCAAATTTTCTGCAAGGAGCATTTATTTGATTTATTTGTAGTAAGTTTAAAAAAAAAAAAAGCATCTGGACAAAAATCATTTCATATGCCCTCTTAGACACCAACTGACCAAAAGGGAAATAAGTTAAAAATACATAAGCCACTCTGGAATGCTTCTGATTACACCATTTATTAGTTATACAGAAAGAAAAATCTTAACATCTCCACACCAGTCACAAAGAAACAAAAGGGCAAGGCATTATCTTTAGTGCTGACCAAGAAAACCAACCGTTAGACACCAGTGTACCCCTCTGCCACACCCTTCCCAACACAGCCCAGGCACGGTCATCTTTTCTTTTTTCTCTTCTGCGTTTACACAGGGGTGCTTTGTTAAGCTTATCACCGCCTGATAAATACACAAACAACCACACAAACAAGCGATTCAGTTTGTTAGCCCGTCTCCTCTGCTAGCTCGGGCAGTGCCACCGCGCTGCAGCCCGGATGGTGCCCTAGAACTAACTCCCTGTTCGCGATAACGCCGGACCTAATTCAAGCCTCCTCTTTAAGCTATTTATAAGGCAGAGCAGGAGGTTTAGGCGGGAGGGCCACAGCCACTCACTAAGTTCTGTGCCTCTGTGTAGCTTAAAATCGTTTACCTAATCTAGACCGGAGGTCACGGCAAAACCCGTCAACTGTGGCAGATGAAGCTGCTTCTAGGCGGTTGGATAACTTACAAAGATTCAGTATGCAATCTAACAGAACTGGGGCAAGAATCTAGGGTAAATTTTTCTCCCACAAAATATCACTATTTAAAGCATATTAAACTCTTTCGTGTTAAAAATAGTGTAACTGAATATAAGTCCATTGAATTGTATTTTTTCTTGAATTTTTAACAACTTAATGGCAATTTAAGTAGCTTTCCCATCACAGTATTTTTTCCTTCAAACTTTTTTTTTTAAAGGAAGCTTCCACTTTCTCCAAATGACTGTACCTAGCTATGTTTGGCGTTCCTCAAAACTAATTTAAAAAACACAATCAAAAATGCCCAGGTAAGAGTCAGACTTATGTCAATATGAATTATCACAGTATACAAAAATAAAGTTTCTAAAAGTGAAAACAAACAGATTAGCGTAAGGACGTAACCCCATACCTGCATAGAAAGCATCAGTCTGTAAATTGAATTTTACGAATGAATCCCAGACTTCATCTGTCATTTAATCATCTATGAAAACATAGCAACTATTCACGAAGCTAGCCAGATAATCAAATAAGAATAATGTATCTTATACCTTTGAAAACACTGTATCTGGCATATCAACAACCCAATCTTTGGTTTGTATGCATCGAATGCATAAACGCATCCTGTAAAATATGGAAACACAGGTGGGAGAAATCACTAACCTCAAGCTCTCCTCACCTGCTATCAATAATCTCCTGTCTTAAGAGGGAAAACAAAGGTCTTACCTTAGCCGGAATGGGGAGACTACCACTGTGTTTTACTCTCTACTGTGGAGAAGCTGCCACCAGTCACTACCTGATACCGCGGTAACTTTAACGGACAGAACACTGTGGGTGATAATCCTAGAAGCCGTAAGAAAAACTTTACTCCAAAAGTTCAAAACAAAAGTACAATTGTTTTTTAAACCAGCCATGTTCGATTTCCCCATTTAAGCCACTATCTGACCTTTAAAAATTAAAATTAAAGATAGCGGGGAGAAAACCACGAACATTTTCGTGTGTTTGCTGTGATGTGCTTGCTGGCCAGCCCGACCTCCTCTTCCCAGGACGCTGGGTGTCTTATCTGTTTGATAACAAACACAGATCACTGTGCGCAGCCTCAGACTGGGGAGCCTTGGGGGGAAAGCGCTCCTCCGCTGGAAACAATGATCGGGAGCGCCGCGCCGCGCGTGCCTTCCCGCGCCCCGCACGCGCCCCCGACTACCCGGCCGCAGCTGCACAACCCCGAGGCGCCTCGGACTCTGGAGCCGGCTGGGCAGACCCCCCCTCCCTCCTCCCGCCCTCCCGGCCGGCTGGAGGACGCCGGCGCAGGGACGGTCCCCGCCGAGACACCGCGGGCCGCGAACCCGCGCGCCCGACTCGGCGCCCGCAGACCCCTCCGCCCCTAGCGCCCTCCCGCCTCGCCGGCCCGGAGCAGACAAAAGGAAGGTTCCGAGGGTCACGGCGCGGCCGCCCACACACAAAGGGGCCCCGCGCCCGCGTGCTCCCCCGCCCCGCGCGGGCCCGCACCCACCTGCAGGTGTCTGTGCGTCTGTCCATAGGAACGCGGGCGGTGGGGCCTGCGGGAGCCGGGCGGCCGGGCTGGACGGGACGGGACGGCCGGCCCGGGGGCGGCGGCGGCGCGGCCGGAGGCCCGGGCGCCGGGGCCGGTGGAGCGGG